AACATGAGGTGAGCCAAGGTCACTCCTGATCTCGCCACAGTCCAGGCAGCCAGCCACACCAGCACAAGCCACCTGGACTAGGAGAGTTGCTCAAACCCTCTGCAGGCTCATGCTTCTGAGTGATGAGAAGGAAGAAATCTTTCAATGGGTAAGAGGTGCTAAAAAGAGTTTATCTGCAAATCTGCCTAGAAATAAATAAAGACTGAGTGCTAACCCTAGTTTTTTTTTTATTAGCACTCTGTGTCCCTCTTTTGTAGGAAGAGTTGGGCGGGTAGGAAGGGTAGCTTCCAAGCTCTAAAGTTAGCCCAGGATAGAGGGGCACCTTTGCTTGGCAAATGGAATCTGTGTTTAATGAGGGCTATAGCCCACTCAGGTTTCAGGTTGGTGGACTCCTGGTTTCTTTTGTTTCAAAAGTTACAGTGCAACGTTTGTATCATGCGTTTGCAATGTCCTAAACATGGCACAGCAATTAGCCTGCAGAGGGTAATTTCTCAATGTCTTTTCATGACACCAGAGTGTAACAAGCCCTCTAATGATCTATCCATCCTACTACCACAATCCTCAAGTCTTTTTATAGTCACAGGTAATTACACCATGGAGAGATTACATCACTTTGTCAGCAGGGTTTGCAGCTGACAGGAAGATGCTCTGTGGATGTTTTGGGAACTACATCCTCATTTAGCAAACAATTTGCTGTGGTCCCTATTGATCCTTCCCAGTAATAGAACTGCCTTGGCAAATCTTGTGCCTAAACTGGGAACCAAACAACCAAGGGCAATGGTAAATGAGGACAGAAACAACCACAAAGGGAAACAGGGTAACTCCTACAGCCTTTATCCAGAAGAAAAAAACAGATGGTATCTTTTTTTGTCAAAATAATCTTCTGAAGGTTGGGCTGAGTGCTCCAATAGAGCAACACAAGGAATGGGTGTCAGAGGAGCCTGCAACTCAGCACAGGTAGTGTGGTTCTCAGCAGACCACAGGACAACAGAGTGACAGACTGGGCACAAATCCCAACCAGTGTCACTCCAACAACTGCCTATCTCTGAGCAAGTTATCTAACCTCTCTGTGCCTGAGTTTCTCACTTGTAAAATGGATACATGATCAGCTGGCTCAAACACACTCTGAGATCTTTAAATGGGATAACACAGAGCCTGACAAATAATTTTTTATATGCATCAGGCTCCTATCTGTCCTCTTCTCTTAGGTCAGTGTTCATTATCCCTGACTCCAGGTCCCTCAGAGATAGGGAAGTGAACCAAGGCCACCTGCCAACATCTTTCTGCCATAGTAATGTTAAGGGCCACAGCCACATCATCCCCCTGAAAGCCTAGTTCTCAACATTTTCCATCTTCAATGAACACTAAGTACCTGGTTTTCTCTCTGCCATGTAGGTATAGATGGTTGCTTTCCCTGCCACTTTAAATTTACATTAGGTGCTTATGTGATGTTTAACATGGTCTAAAGTGTCATGGCAACATTTTAAGGGGAAAAATTCATAAACTAATAAAATACTGAGTTTCTTCAGTAAATATGCTAAGGAGGGGGTGGAGTAAAATAAAAAGCTTTTTATATGGGCCAGCAAGCCAGTTGGGTTGAGACCATCCAACTATGCAAACACAGAAGACAAAGGAAATTCCAGAAATATTCCATCCTTCCTAGTCAAGTTTGACACCTTATCCCCAACCCAAAAAGTGACTTTACATCTTCAATTTTGTTTTTGAAAGACAGTAAATTATGTCATCTGCATAAAGTCTCCTGCCCAACATGACTCAACAGTAGGTCACATACCATTTCTGTTGTTGTTATTTGGGAATTACACCGCATATTTTATATGTCAAGTGCCTTCCAATTATTTTTATTAGTCTACACACCACCAAACTAGCATCCTTAAGTATCTTGTTTCTATTTTATAGAAGAGACAAAGAGTCAAGTAATTTGCCTAAGGTCATATAGCAAGTTTCTTAAGATCACAAGTGAAAGAAAGGAGTTGTGAGATCTGAGAGAGGCTGCTACATTAACTGGGATCCTAATTCTTCTCTAGCCCCCCACCCTACCCCCAAGGCAAGTTGGGTAGTATGTGCATAAATCTTATTTTTAATTCTAATCTTCCCCTGTATGATAGACCAGGTATGAAGAATAAGATATGCTTCCTTTTGCCACTCCTAAAAAGGAAACTTTCAATAATTTCTCTCATCTCTGCTAAAGGAATGACCTGGGTGGCATCTAGATCCTATGACTCTCTTATAACAATAAACCCTGAGTTATAGATAAGAGAAACCAGGATGGAAAATTGAGCCCCAAACATGATATAACTTCATTCTAGAACTCTCAAGTGCCTCTTTACACAATTCCTTTCTTCTAAACCTGAGCAAGTATGACCAAGACTAAGGAGTGACTCTGGTATTTATGACCAGAGACTATGCAGACAAATTGCCCCCCAGAATATGCCCACTTCCTATGTCCAGTGGGATTCTTACAGTCATGAATGCACAGGTACACAAACATATTCAGGGTCTACTAGAGCCCATTGGATAACAAGGCTGTGAGTTTACAAGCTCCTCATTTAAAATGCCTCTAGAATGGGTGTTCAGAGATAGCTACAGAAGAAGGTTAAGAAATGCAGGAAGAGGAAGACGGGACCTTTCCTGAACTAAATTGCTTTTCCCTAACTTCAGAGTACCTAAGAATCTTAGTTTCTTGGCAAACTTGCTTGACACGTTGCTCATGGCAGGCATGGCCATACAGGTGTACTCTGGGTTTCAGGCCAAGGATTAAGCACCTCCTTCCTCCAGAAACTACTCCAGAGAGAGAAAAAAATATTGGCAGCAACTTCGTACACTAGATCTAAGAAATGGTGAAACCCTTTCCCCTGCATGCACCCTGCTCTGTGCCAATACAGATGTTTTATGGGGATTAGAAAGACTTGGAGGGTGGATGGCAGGGGAGGAAGGATTCTTTGTAGATGGTAGCAAGGAGGGAGCAAACAACAGAGGCAACTTTCCCATTCTGGGCTAAGCCCACACTATAGACATGTATTTTTCCACACTGTAGAATAATCCCTTTATCCAGCCAGTCTAGAATCATCAGTCCCTGATCATTGATTTTGGACTTTGGATGGAAATTTTGAATGGTGTGGATTTTTGGAAAATGGGAGGGAGGATGCAGGGGGGAAGCCCATAAAAAGGAAGGTAAGGTGTGTGTGGGGGGGGGGGGGGCGGGTGGTTAACAAAGATAAGGAAACTAAGACTTCAGACACAGAAGGCAGACCCTAATACTGCCAGGTAAAAAGCCGAGACAGCTTCCCCAACAGAGTCTTGGAAGAGGATGGTCATTGTAGGTTCTGGTAAGCTCAACCATAATTGACTGAGACCCCTATTGGTGTTTGCAGATACTGAGGCAGGTTCTGTAGCATCACCCAGAGGCCTATGATACACACCCAAATATGCCCTTTCTAAAAAGGATACCAGGTCTCGAGGACCACATGAAGGGAACCTATAGGGTTTTTAGAGCACTGCTGAAGGCAACAAGGACCATATAAACCCTAAAGGGCTCACTGCTGCATTTGTAGTCCATTAAGAAGACTCTTCTACCTTATAATCTTTAACCAGAAAGTCCTTAGAATCATGAAAGTATAGACTGAGGGAACTAGACCTGACTTAAAGGTTATCCAGGTCAACTCCTTCATTTGATGCAGAAACTGAGCCACAGAATGGTTAAGTGGCTTGTCCAAAATCACAAAGTTTGTAGTGTCAATGACCAAGTCCTGCTTCACTAAATTACAATACCTTAACTCTGTACCCATTCTGAGAAAAAAACCAGAAAGACAAGAAACAAATAATAAAGAGCTAACAGCCTAGCCAGTGTGGCTCAGCAGATGAGCATCAACTTATTAACCAGGAGGTCACAGTTCAAATCCAAGTCAGGGCACATGACTGGGTTGTGGACTTGATCTGCATTAGGGGCATGCAGGAGGCTGCCGATCAATGATTCTCTCTCATCATTGATGTTTCCATCTCGCTCCCTCTCCCTTCCTCTTTGAAAGCAATCTATAATAATAAAAACATAATATGCTAATTAGACTAGACGTCCTTCCAGACGAAGCCAGGGCTGCAAGGGAAAGCCTGGGTCCGGGTGCCTGCTGGCAGCCAGAGGGAAGCCAGGGTCCCGGTTGCTGGAGGGAAGCTGGTGCCGGCAGCCATGGGGAGGAAGGCCTACTCTTGCATGAATTTCGTGCATCGAGCCTCTAGTACAGCGGTAATCAACCTGTGGGTCAAGACCCCTTTGGGAGTCGAACGACCCTTTCACAGGGGTCGCCTAAAAACATCCTGCATATCAGATATTTACATTACGATTCATAACAGTAGCAAAATTAGTTATGAAGTAGCAACGAAAATAATTTTATGGTTGGGGGTCACCACAACATGAGGAACTGTATTAAAGGGTCACGGCATTAGGAAGGTTGAGAACCACTGCTCTAGTAAAATATATATTTTTAAGAAAAGTTAACAATCAGTAATGCTTATTGCATTCTCTGAGACAATCTTCACAACCACCTTATGAAGTACATATGCCATTCTGCAGCTGAGGAAACTGAGGTTTTACGTAAGTGAAGAAGCTTGCTCAGTCACAGAGCCAGCGAGTAGTAGGGAATGGGCTATGAACATGGGCACCTGGTTCTGAGAACCTGCACCCTTACCTGCACATCATAATCTGAATCCCACACCTCTGTCTTGCCTGATAACTACAGCAGGGGAGAGGGGTGATAATGTCATCACCAGTAGATTCCTACACAACTGTCCTCCATCTGGTTCATTAGGCCCCTTGGTGCCAAACCAGCAGTACTGGCTCCCTGCTATATCACAGCACAAAAGCCCCCCACCCTGCTCTCCCTGTAACTGCTTAACAGACAGAGAATTCCCTATCCCAGCTTTTAGGAGAAACAAGAGTATTGTGTCTTTTCCCTCCCACAGACCGATGGCAGAAGGCCAGGACTCACCTGAGGCAAGTCCGTCTCCAAGAAGGGTGCTAAGGATCACCAGCGGAAGAAACACTCCATGTCCCACAGAGGCCACGGCAGACGCTGAGGTGCTCTTTGGTGCTATCCTGCCATGGCACATCTTTTATCCGTCCAAGTTATTTAAAAAAGAAAAAAATTAAAAGCCAGAAGAATTCTAAAGTCAGCCAGGTGTAGAGTCACCTATAGAAAGCAAACAAAAAATAGACATAAGTGAAGTGAAAACTTTACCCATACATTTACAAGTAGGCACTTTACTCTAAAGAAGCCATAATCATGTACAAAGCTGAAAGATTTCTAGCAACTGAATTCCTGCTTTCAGAAGAGACAAGCACATAAGTAGCTTTTCAACGCCTTCCTGGAGAAATATCAGAGCCTGCAGCAAGCTGCCATCAGCGTCAGCATCTAGGAGCCAGATCCTTACGATAGGACAAGGAGACAAGCACGGGCTCACCTGGAGATCTCTGGGTCACAGAAAGGTTTCAGAGACTGCCCTGGCTCTGCTTGGCTGCCTGCCTCGGAGGCTCCAGCACAGAGGCGGAGAGAGGCAGCAGTTGACACAGAGCTGCTATACCAGAGTGTGGCTTTGCCTTTGCCACCTGCCCTCAGAGTAAATTCAACTTAACCGAAAGAAAGAGAGAGAGAGAACACGTGTCTTAAAGGGAGAACTACACCGCCTAGAGAAGGAATGCAGCAGTGGCAGCCAAGGGCCCCTAGCTTGGCCTGCTCAACTGCCTGAGGCTGGATGAGCCCTAGGATCTGACTCTGACTTAACAGCTCAGGCAACACACCTATGACCCCAGAGGCCATACTTGTTGGCTATACCTGATAATGAGTGGGGGAGGATGGCTACAATTGTTAATTAGCCCCACCATCCATTCTAGTTCAAAGACTTCATAAAAGTAGGAATCAGTATTTAAAAAAAAAAAAAAAAAAATCAGGGTTCAAGACTTCTTTTTTTTTAATCCTCATTGGAGGATATTTTTCTCATTGATTTTTAGAAAAAGTGGGAAGGGGTAGGGGGGGAGAGGAGAGAGAGACAGAGAGAAACATCAATGGAGAGAGCCACATCAATTGGTTGCCTACTGAACACGCCCCAACGAGGGGGGGAACCTGAAACCCAGCTATGTGCCCTTAACCGGAATCAAACCTGCAATCCTTCAGTTCCCAGGCTGACAGTCTAACCAGGGGTGGGCAAACTTTTTGACTCGAGGGCCACAATGGGTTCTTAAACTGGACCGGAGGGCCGGAACAAAAGCATGGATGGAGTGTTTGTGTGAACTAATATAAATTCAAAGTAAACATCATTACATAAAAGGGTACGGTCTTTTTTTTTCTCAATAGTTTTATTCATTTCAAACTGGCCGAATCCGGCCTGCAGGCCGTAGTTTGCCCACGGCTGGTCTAACCACTGAGCCATGACAGCCAGGGCAGGGGTCAAGACTTTTAAGAAAGCTTTTCTACATGCCTTCAGGGAAGCAGTTGGATTGATGATACATTATGATATGGATCTTATATTTTACTTAACTCATTTGATTTTATTTATCCTAGTTTATAACAGGTATTTCAAAAATAAGATTACACTTCTTTTTAAATTTTAATTCCATACACACCTCCATCTCCATTAAAAAGACCTTATGTAAATAGACAGGGGGGCCTGCCATCTACAACCCTAATAAAGGATGCCCCTGAGACTGTCAGGGTTATTGTCAGACCTGACTTCAATCCATGTCTTGTAGCCTTGACTCAGTCCTATGCTCCCCTTATAAAAAGCTACTGCAGCCCTAGCCGGGTGGCTCCCTTGTTTGGAGTATCATCCTGTACATCAAAAGGCTGAGGTTCAATTCCTGGTGAAGCACATACCTAGGCTGCAGTTGGGACACATAAGGGAGACAACCAATCAATGTTTCTCACATCTATGTTTCCCTCTCACTCGCTCTTGCTCTCCCCCTTCCTCTCTAAACATATTCTCGGGTAAGGATTTTTTAAAAAAGAGTGTTACTGCAAACAGCAAACAGCAATGAGCTGTCTCAGTCCAAAGAAAAAGCATCTGTCACAGTCCTCAATGAGTAAGACCCAGGGGTCTAAGAACAGAGTTAAACACTGGGTCCTCACCCACTACCCACAAATATTTGTAACTGTAGTCATCTGTCCCCAGTTTTTACCCAGACTCCAACTTGAGCCTTTACAGTTGTAGAACAGGATGGTTCATGAGAGTTCTAGGGGTAGAGTCTGTGAGTGACCCGAAACAGTACACAAAACTGTGGGTATGTAAATGTGTGGAATATGCATACATTTATGTGGCTAAGAACCATAGAGTCAGAATGCCAGAATTCAAATATTGCTTCTATTATGGCCAAATTACTCTCTCAAGCCTTAGTGTTCTCTTCTGTAAAATAGAGACAGTAACCATAACTGTCTTCATAGGGTTGATATAAGGATTAGGATTAGACAAAGTATTTGACACAGTGCCTGAACTTTTCAAGTCCTCAGTAAACACTGCCAGCTGTTGATACCGTAATAATAAGATCTGAGCCATGGGACCTTGGAGGTTATCAGGCTTCACTTCCTCATTTGACAGATACCAAACCAAGATCCGAAGAGGTTAAAGGACATGCCTAGGGCCACCAGCCAGTTAGCAATGGGCCCTCTGGTGCTGCTGTTTTACATACAGCCACAGCAGGTGACCCTACCAGGCAGTCACCTTTCCCTTAAAGGAACAACCAGTGGATCATCAGGAATGACACCTGAGAATGACATCACAGCATGCACACAACAAATAATTCTGCAGTGAATGGACGAGGCTGGATCAGAGTGATGCTTAGATGTTCTGTGCAAGAGAGGAGGTGCTGCTAGGTTCACTGCAAAAGGATGTGTCCAATGAAAAAGACGGGGGGAAAAGGAGATACCAAATACAAGCGGATCAAAGCAATGGGAGCACAGCACTCCTGGCAGAGGCTAGAGGCAGAGGAGAGGATAAGGCGTTTAAACTGTACCCTGAAACCATGTGGAGCTTATGAGGATTAGAAACAGGGAAGTTATAACACCAGACTCATTTAGAAAGCTCACTCTGGCAGGGATTTTAGAGGACTGGGGAGAAGGAGATGCTAAGTGGTATAAATTTAGTATTTTATAATTAATGTAAAACTCCTTGGACAATCTGTGAAAACACACATAATTCTACTTCTACTTCTAGAATCTTTCCTCAGAAATCATATGTGTGCAATGACATATATGCAGGATATTCACTGCATTATTTGTACTGGCAAAAGACTGAAGGGAAACTAGTTAAATAAGCTGCCATACACTAGAATACTATGCAGTAGTTGAAAAAGAACTGGGAAGTTCAGTCTGTAGTAGTATGGAATGACTTCCAAAATTAGTATGTGAAGAAAACCATTTATATGTATGAGTGTATTTTTAAAGCACACACACACACACACACCCCCCTATATGCACTGAAAATATCTCTGGTATAATGCACAAGATAATGCACATCTCCTTAAGTGTTGTATCTTGTGCATGCATTACCTATTCAAACAGATAAAAAATAAATAAAATTAATGTAGCAAGGCTGTCCTGTAGACCACCTGTTTCCTTCCTCAACAAATTGACATTCAAATAAACCTGATTGCTCCCTCTGCCAGGAATACAGTCACTGTCAGGGCTCAGCAAAGACCATCTTCCTACTCCCTTCAGCAGAACTAACCCCCTTCTTACTCCCAAAGCGCCACTCTGATTGGACTCATCCATTCACTACAGAAATATGTGTTGTGTGTATGTGCTATGACACAAGCAGGTGTTATTCTTGATGATCCACTGGTTGTTGCCTTAAGGAAACGGTGACTACCTGGTAGGGTTACTTGCTGTGGCTGCATGTGGAGAAGCCAGTATAACTTGGGGGAAAGATGTACACTTATGAGCTCCTTTTTTATTTTGTTCTGTTTCAAAGGAACAGCTGGCTCCTTTCTTATTGCCAAGGGACCAATTCCACCACGAAGACTAAGACCTGATCAAGTGCACAACAGATGGGATGATGAAAATGGGGTTTTGCAAAAAAGAGAGAGAAAGAGAGAAAAGATGAATGGAGGGCAGTCAATGGAGTATTTTTATATGCAAGTCTGAGCCAAGGGTCAGTGCTTCAGAAATAATACAGAGAAAAACGAATCCCCACAACAGGAGAATCCAGCTACTGTGGAGAAAGGGTCACAACATACATCTAATAATTTAAAGAAAGAATCTGTTTTGAACACAGGAAGGAAGGGAGGGAGGAAGGAGAGGCCAGGAGGGAGGGAGGCAAGGCAGGCAGGCAGCAGGCAGTCCTGTCCTTGAATTGTGGCTTTACACCAAATCAAAAGAAAAACACTTCACAACAAATTAAGGCTAAGTATTCATTATCCCTAGAGAAACACATAGGCAAAAACTTAAGAAAAATAAGAGAATACATTTTACTTCAGTATTCCTTTGGCATGTTAGTGACCACTTCCCCTAATTAAAAAAAAAAAGTATAATTAAGTAGAAACAGAAAATAGAATAGTGGTTATCAGGAGGGTGAAATAGGAAGTTATATTGTTTAAAGGGTACAGAATTTCAGTTTTGCAAGATGAAAAGAGTTATGAAAATGGATGGTGGTGATAGTCGCACATTATTACTGTACTTATACCACTGAACTAGACACTTAAAAATGACTGACGGTCAATTTTACTTTATATATATTTTACCAGTTTAAAAAAAAGGGAAAAAATTAGGATTAATGAGGGACCTGGAACTCAGCTTCATTTTCAAAGTCTGCACTCACCCACCCTAACAAGGCATATAACATCTAAACTTAAGAGGTGAGAAGAGAGAGGAGGGTCTGGGGCTACAGTTAATCCCACCTCTGCCACCAACTAGATGGCTGGTCATATCTCTGGCTTCCATTTCCACATCTCAAAAAGGGTCGAAGTTCTCTCTCAGCCACAGAATTCTACATGGCACCCAAAATTCTCTTTATAGAAGCCATCTCTTCCTCCAACAGCCAGTTTTTCCCTCCAAAACAAAGGGTGAGGAGTCATGGGAAATCTGCATTCACCCTTATTTTCTTTCTTGGAACTAGAGCTGCTGTCCCAATAGAATGTGGCAAAGGGAGACCCCATGAGACTGTCAGCCCCTCAAGGGCAGGGTCTGGCTTTTCCCAGCTCTAT